TTAAAGGCGATTAACCGGTCGGTCATAGTTGACAGATAACCAATGAAGCAAACGTCATTTGTCAACCAATCGGTATGAAATGACGTTAAATGTATTGTTCATCTGTCAATATAACCGACTGGTTTATCGCCTTAAATTGATTTAAAAGGTGAACCAGTGGCGAAGCTAGTTCTATGTTAGAGGAGGGGGGGGCAGACTGGGCCAGAAAAATGTAGTGGGGGAACTTGTTTTTATTTTACTGCTTTTCTTATTTGGAATAAAAAATGGGGAGTACCTGTCGACACTAATATGTTTGGGGAAATCCTAGGAGAGCGAAAGCAGCATTGCGGTTGCCTGTACCCAAGAACACTCAACCTGATAGGACTGCTTATTGAGCTGAAAATTTCTGCCATTTCAGCTGTAGACTTCACCACTTGGCGTAAAATGCTCTAGCCGAGCTTAAAACAGTATAAGTCAGAAGAACGATTTCCTAATCGTTAATCTTGTTAAAATCACCTTTTCTACATTTCAAAATCGACGAAAAAACAAGCACAACCTGAATCGCAAGCATCTCATCGAGACCTGCGGGTGACGTCATCATTAAAAGCTGCTAATTAGTAGTGCCGTCACTCGCAGGCCTTGCCGACTCAAGAATTGGCGAACGTACGCCTTATGAGGATGAGCAATTTTGTTAGTTTACGATTCTTGGCCTGTGCTCACCGAATACCGAATTAACCGACAAAGCCTGCTAGTGTTACATTACATTGTTGCCGAAATGAGAGCAAGTTTTTAGGGGGGGCGGCTAAATTTCAGTGGGGGCCCCGGCCACCTCTGGCCCCCCCCCTTCTGGCGACGCCACTGAGCTGAACTGAGACTTAGCCGCATTATTGCCAATATGCGGATAATTACCCGATTTGCGGGTAATTTGAATGAAACCAGGGTAATTTTCTAACATTTTATAAATCAGGTAATCGAAGCTTTACGTTAACTTTTACAATTTTTGGAAATGGTCGTAGATGGTACGGATGGCCGATCTGTTAAGGCAATGTTTCGTTTCTGACTTGCGTGCTCCGGTCATATTTGCTTATCTTTTATTTTCCTTTCTATAAAGAAAGATAGAAAATAGAAAGATCAAGGAAAGAGAAGGCGAGACCCAGGCCGGCCACAGTCCTAATCTATCTATCTGTCGATTATTCTTTAAACCTGAAATAAATTTTGATGCGGAATGCGGCTTTGCAACTTTAACATTAGGATTGTTCGGACTAGTGCAGAATCAGTCCTGAATTGAACTGCGCTTGCGCATTTCGGATCTTTATCCTTTTCTCTCCTATACCATTAAAAAAAAAAAAAAAAAAATAAAGATACGAGGACCCCTAAAATACTTTTCTTTTTTTTTTTGCTTATCGCTGTTTTGGAATAAGCCCTTCCCTGGCCGCACAAACCTGGGATCACGACAAGTAGAATTCTACTTTCATGACGTCACACGCGACTTATTTTTCGCGTACAGTACAGGTAATGATAACGGTTGCTATGCTAACCTGACGTCATGAAAATAGAATTCCAGTAGAATTCCACTTGTCGTGATTCCAGCTCTGGGTTGGGATCACGACAAGTAGAATTCTACTTTCATGACGTCACCCGCTACCTATTTATCGCGTACACTACAAGCGATGATCACTGTTGCTAGGCAACCTGACGTAATGAAAGTAGAATTCTAGTGAAATTCTACTTGTCGTAATTCCAGCCCTGGGGTCTTATTTTCGAATATTCTCGCATACGAAATTTGATACGGTTTCGAATGCCCCCCATTTAATTTACATTGTTGTCAGCCAAATTTCGTGTACGAAATGTAGTCGAATGAATTCGAAAATACGACCCCTGGTAGCCCCGCAGCAAACGTGAATAAAGATCGGGTAATTTCAACTAGAAACTCGGGTAATCCAACTTTACCACATTGGCAACACTGCTTAGCCGAGTTTGAAATACTATAGGTTAAAAAAACGACTTCCTAAACGTTAAAATCTTGTTGAAATCACCTTTTCTACATTTGAAATGAGCAAAAAAATAAACTCACAAGCACAGCTTTATGAAGTAATAACAGCGCAAATTAGGTATTCCATTTCGTTCCAGGCTATCATGAATGAACATAGGTAGTTAATTCATAATAAATTACATGGAAGAAAGTAGTTTTTTTCACTTTTGGCAGTCATTTCCAAATCGATTCCAGTTTGATATTTTCCAAAAGCACACCGGAAAGATTGTCATACCTTATGCCCTAGCCCCTAATAAGTAAGGAATACACACTAGAGGATGCATTCAATAATATAATGATTAAGTCCATTGAAAAATCCATGGAGCACCTACAGGTAGAACCAGTCATCATACAATAGATAATAAAAATGCTGGAAAGCAGAATCACTAATTCAGAAATTGGTGACTATTATACCATAAGGAAAAGAGCAATCAGAGGGACTCCACAAGGAGGAGTGATATATCCACTCTTGTGGCTGTTGGTTATCGATATGATTCTAAAAATTTTTAGAGAAAGCAGAATAAAATTGATTGCGTATACTGACGACGTAGTAGTACTGATGAGGGGCTTCATCAGCTTATCAAGCATCTATGAAATCATGAAATCAGCATTAAAAGAATAACTCTCCAGATGGGCAGGACAGAACGGATTGGGAGTAAACCAAGCTAGTCCTGTTCACAAGAGAATACAAAATCCATAGTTTTCCAATACCGACGGTTTGGGGGACAAACCCTCGAATCCGCTGTTTAAGCATAGTTAAATTTAACTATTTTCATTGCACTGTTCGATTTATGCAATCAAAATAAACCCTTGTAATGCAAAGTACCTGAACGACACAGTTAAAGAAGCAAAAAATAATAAAATTTGATATCATTACCTACCAACTTAAACAGACGCCATCAAATCATCAAATTTATCAAATATAATAATAGTTCAATAGATGCCGCTTGGAGCTTCTTGGAGATCACTGTACTTAGCGATCCAAAATGCCTGTCCCTGCCTGCAGTCGAGGTATCCTTCCACAGGGATGGAATCAGCCCCCGGATTCTATTTTACAAGTCTAGCCGAATTGTCTCGATATTGAATACGAGAGCTCCGGACATACCGTGTAATACGGGAAAAATCGAAAAATAGAATCGCTATTTTGACAATTCGATACGAATTTCGACTCGACTCGTAAAATAGAATCCGGCCTCAGTTTTCACTGAATTTCGTGAAAATATAATGGCAAAAATATTTTTCAGCAAACATTTTACTATAGAAATATAGGCATACAAGAAATAGGTAGATTTTCAATATTTTTGGCCAGATTTAATTGGACGAATCCCAGGAATTTGTCACTGCAAATTGTTACAATATTTTCACGGCATTCAACGTAAAACTGATTTCAACCCTGAAAATACAATCCGAAAAATAAAAGTCCGGACATAAATAAACTATAAACAATAAACGACAAATAGTAACGAATGTAATGTAAACAAATTGACTTGACGTTGACGTGATTCACAGTGACAGAACAGATGGGAAATGCTACAGTAAACTGTAAACTTTATGAAAGACAGTGCGCCATCTCGTGGTAATGTGTGGTACTGCGCCTCTTGCGGTCGACAGTGAAATTCAAATTATAAATTTTAATTATTTTTTTCAAGTTAGTGATAACTTTTGAACAAAATACAAAAATACGGGTCTCCTGAAAATCGATGCAATAAAAGAAAAAGGCTTAAACACCGGATTATCAAAAGAAGCGTAGGTATCTAGGGGATTCTTCTGGACTCCAAATTCTCGTGGAGGAGAAACACGGAGGATTTGGCAAAAAATAGTAACTGTCACCGCACATCATCCATTGGATGTAAACTGCGATAGTGTGACCCATTATATTGACAGAAACAGAGAATGGCAACACTCGGTTCAACGGGAGCACAAGAAGCACATCGCAGGCGGCCTTAGAGGTTATGCTGAATCTGTTGCCAATAGATTTGTTCATAAGAGGCACAGCTGCAAGAAAAACGGGCACAGGAGCCAGATGAGCACTGAACATTCGAGAGTCATACAAACTCAGGGATGATTGCAGCATCCTGTAGGTATGTCGAAATAATTGCTATTGAAAAAGCAGCAAGACTATTGCTAAGGGAGGACGATGCGATGGGCAATGTGACCATATGTAGAGTGCAAAGCAGAGCTGAGACTGCTAGAATCACTTACAGTGAAAATAGTGATGAGCTGCTAGGTGGCGCTGTTCTGGATCAGGAATAGTAATGTCGGAGTAAGCTGGGTTCCTGGACATAGTAATATCGAAGGGAACAAAATGGCAGATAGACTACTGGCAAAACTGGGAATGAAAAAGGACCAAGCTGAAACCAGATGACTCATCACAACCAACGATTGTTGATGGATTTTTGCCTATTTTTTTTGTAGAATTCATTCATATTTTTCATGAAATATTCTACACATTGACGCTATCCACTAATGGATTCCAACATGTGAACAATGGATTTTAAATTTCCATCCATGTTCCACGTGTGCTTCGAACTCCAGTTTCGAGTTCATTAGTTCTCGTCATTGCAATATAAGCGAAAGCATACCAACTCAGAGAATCAACTTTACAGGAGATGCCACAAATGAGAAAGAAAAAGTCTTACAAAGCAAAACCAAGAAACAACTCACTTATGTGTGATAAGATTCAAATTTTGAAAAAATAAATGAAATCAAGTTTTATATTCCCACCACACTATTTGTTTTTGATTTTGTGAATTTTTAACAAAATTCGAATTCAATCACACCCAAACGAGCTGTTTCTTGGCCTAACGGTTGATGGAACCACACGCTATAAAAGGTTTATTCCTTATCGGTGGCATCTGGCATCTCCGGTGAATGTGTTTCTGAGTTTCTCTAAGTTGGTATGCTTTCGCTTATATTGTAGCTAATTATTTTTTTGTGCATCAATGGCTTTGGAGTAAATAGGAAAAAAAAGGTCTAAATAAAACAATTGTTGACTTTTGGAGTAAATAGGTATTACCGTTTATTGACAAACTGAAAATGGATAAGGACCAAATTACAAAAACTGCTTCTACTTAAAAATTTAGACAATAAAATATAAAAATATAACAACATAAAAACAAGTAATAGTGAAAAGTAAACACTAAAATTAGTTAAAGCAACGTTATATAAAGCAATAGTTGTGCTTAACTTAACTAAATTATGGTAGATCGAAAGAAAAGTCCTTTAGCCTTCACAATATATTTATGTCAATTACAATCTTAAGTATTGTGGAGACTAAAGGACTTTACCTTCGATCTACGAAGAATGTACTTGACCATCAACCTCTTGATACACTTTGAAGCGTTTTCTTGGTCCTAAGTATTTTGTCAAGTCAAAAAATCTACAAAATCTGCTTCTGCTTGAAAATTTACACAAAAAATATGAAGGTTCCAGCCGAAACTGAAGCATTTAAATAGCTTATATCCTCGAAACTGGAAAAGATAAAAGGTTGCAAGATGGACGAGCAAGTTTAGATTCTTGCACAGAAACCTGCGTCACAAAAACCTAACAAAAGTCTCTAATACAAGTTAAATTCTTATATATAATGAAGTTATTATATAAGAAGTAGAATACAAAGTTTAAATTCTTACACTCAATTAAGTTGATGTGTAAGAAGGACGAGCAAGTTAGATTCTTGCACAGAAACCTGCGTCACAAAAATCTAATAAAAGTCTCTAATACAAGTTAAATTCTTACATACAATGAGGTTGTTATATAAGATTTAAGAAAATATTCACTGACGTAACCTGAATATAACTTTGAGAAACGACAGCTGTGATTGTAACGAAACTCTATAGATTTAGCAACAATGCACGATGGAAACCAAGGTCGGCTTACAAGTTGCTAACCTACTGAGCAAGTTTCCCGTCGGTACGGCAAGTTAAGTTTCGTGTTCAGTGAACCTGAATCACAAAAATAAGTTTTCTAGAGTCTTATCTAGGAAGTCTCAAAGCAAGTGATATTCCCACATGAAGTTGCTATGTAAGACTGAAAATAATAATCTTTATGCAATTTGAGCAAAACTTTAAAAAATATGAAAATGAAAATTATGAAACTGTAAATAATATAAACGTTGACGTTTGCCTTGCGATTCAATTAATTAATAATTGGCTTATTCATATAGCTTCAACTACGCTCTCGCAAAACAATTACTTCAAAAATAAAAATAATGAAAATGAGAAAACTTGAAGATTGCTTTGCAATGCAATTATAAAAATTGCCCTTGTTCAATAACCTGGTTATATAATAACCTGCAGTTACGCTCTTACAAAAACAATTACTTCAAAAAAAAAATAATAATAATAATGAAAATGATAAAGAAAAACTTGAAGTTTGCCTTGCAATGCAATTAATGATTAATTGGCTTTGCTCAATAACCTGGTTATAATAACCTGCAGTTACGCTCTTACAAAACAATTACTTCAAAAAAATATTAAAGAAATGAAAATAATTAAAAACTTAAAGTTTTCCCAAAGTCAGTCAGTGAATTTAAAAAAAAAATAATGAAAATACAACAATCAATGCCAAACCAATATTGGACTGCATAATTATGCCAAACAGACAGATATATTTATAAAATTACATAAATTAGGTATAGATAGTACATACTGTAGTCTTATAGAAAATATATAAAGTATTTTTTTTTACAAACTGTTTCGAAGCGTGTTAAGATCATGTGAATCTAGGAAGCTGTAAGGATTTGAAATTTTATCGTTTCTTGCTTCTTATACTGATGGGTTTTTGCTTAATTTTTTGCGATTATTGCGGGTTGCAACGCATTATTATTGATAATATCATTATTTCTGGATCAGATAGCACCCGCCATTACTCACTTCCAAGTCCACGATATCTTTAGTCAAAGATAGTGTGCAAGATTTAAGTAACGACAGGCCAAATAAATATTTGGTGTGACTTTAAAGTCTAAAACTATAAATCTAATCTGAAAATATATTTAATGATGTATTTCTTGTATTCTTGTATAAATGATACATTTGGATATTTATCCGTTTGAATGTGACACTTGTAATGCAAAATTTAAATGAAAGAACGATTCGAAGAGCCACATATTAACACACTCGGATGAGTGCAACGCCAAATCTAAACTAAATCCTAACTTAAAAAAATATATATATTTAATGATGTATTTCTTATATTCTTGTATAAATGATACATTTGGATATTCATTCGTTTGAATGTGACACTTGTAATGCGAAATTTAAACGGAAGAACGATTTGGAAGGCCACATATTGGATAGATATTCGAGACAAGGAATTCCCCAAAATGTCAATTATCCTCAGGGGCAATGCGAATCCATCGATGCCCTGTATAAGCTAGAGGACGATTGGAGAGAAATAGACGTCGATTACAGCGATATGAGTGAAAAACAACAACACCCACAAACAGTATTCTGGGAGCTAATAAAGACTGAAGTGGCTTACATTAAAACTCTAAAAGTAGTTACAGATTTGTTCCTCGGTTGCGTGAGAGATTTGGATTCGAAAAACCTTTTTGGAGAGATTAGCACGGAGAAGCTCTTTTCAAACATAAGGAAAACTTTGGGTGCAAACGTAATATTTTGGAGAAACACTTTGTTTCCATTAGTGAGGGATATGAGAAAACACAAGCGATCGTCTTGCTTGGAAAACATGCTGGAAGGCTTCTCCAAGTTACCCGACACTTTTCAGCCGTATTTTAAGTATTGTGCTAAACAATGGAGAGGTAAACATGATTGCCGTGAAAATTTGGAAAGCGGAGTTTTTACAGTTCATTTGACGTGATGCGAAAGCCAAAAGAAATGTAATCGATTACGACTAATGGATATTCTTGTAATTTAATGATGTATTTCTTGTATTCCTGTATAATTGACACACTCGGATATTTATCCTTTTGAATGTGACATTTACAAAGCAAAATTTAAAGGAAAAAACGATTTGAAAAGACACATATTAACACACTCGGATGAGTGCAACAGCAAATTCGAGCCTAACTTGGAAGAAATATATTTTATACTATATTATATTATATTTTCGAAGTGAAAAACAAATATTCAAAGGCGCATCCGGATATTCATCCGTTTGAATCTCACACTTGCAATGCAAAATTTAAACAAGTGGACGACTGTTCGCAAAAAATCCGTGGTTCAGAGGCAAAACTAATGAGGAAGTGCCTCCTAGTGACCTAGTGCAACCTCATGAGCAAGTGCAACCTAATGAAAACATGCCACCCAATAGGCAAGTGAACAGAACAGAACAGGAAGAGGTCCAATACAGGACAAACTTCCAGGATGTCTATTCTCGAAGCCAGGGAGCAGCGTCCTCATGAGAACGATTGCTCTGTCCTTGTCATTGTTATGGAAATATGAATATGGGCGACAAAGACAGAACAGAAAAGTTTGAGACATTTAACCATTTATTGCAATGACTATGATGTAATGTGAATTGACAATGGAACATTATTGCAAAGTTAGTTGACAAAACTATTTCAAACATGCATAGATAAACATGAAGTACCGGAAGAGTGGAAAATAAGCTACTTAACAATGATATATAAGAAAGCAGACAGAAACAAATACGAGAACCACCGAGGAATTGCAGTAACAAATACGCTGAGCAGAGTGTCTGAAAAACTTATAAAAGCCAAAACAGAGAACGAGTTCAAAGATAGTGAGGCAGAAGAACAGGCCGGTTCTAGAGCAGGAAGATCAACTGTACACCACTTATTTAGTTTGACCTAGGTAAGGGGAAAGAAACCAGCGCATAACCAAGAACTCTACTCTTTGTAGATCTATAGAAAGCATATGACAATTTTCCGCTGAAAAGATTCGATTAAAATGTTCATTGATCATAAAGTAATTTTGTTTTGTCTAGTTTGTTAATTTTGAGTGATGGTTTAATCATTTGAAGGTATTGGAAGTTTTATTCAAAATATGTACTATCGATCATATACTATTGTTTTGACGAGAAAATGAATTTTGGTTGAAGATATTGTATCCTATTGAAGCAGGGCTCAATAAAAAAATAATGTATGTTTCCAAAAATTGGTAAAAGTAGTACACGGATTTAATAGTGTCATTTTATTCTGATTCAGTTAAATTAAACAAAAATCTTGTAGGTTGTCGGATATTGAAAGCGAATCAATAAATTGAATTCATAGTAAGACATAGAAGTGGCTGTTACGATTGAAAAAAATTCAGAATTTTGTTGTATGTACCGTACCTACTTGCAATTTTGGCTTTGTTTATTTTATAAACCTTTTAAAACCTTACAGCGGTTGTTTTTCTCATTTGCAAATAGACCCCCTACAAACACCATCAATAAAACCGCTCGCCATTTACCATTTACCAACTACCTAATTAATATTTGGGCGGACAGCAACACAAAACAGTATATACCATAGAATATTCTGTATCTTTCTTGAACTTGATATTGAATCTAGAGTTTTGTGGTCAAGTCAAATTTCCAAATAGAACACGATGGAAGATTCTAGTTATCTTTTTGTTTAAATTTTGCAGTGCAAGTGTGACATTCAAACGGATGAATATCCAAATTTGTCATTAAATATTTGTTTTTCACTCCGAAAATTTAATATAATATAATATAAAATATATTTCTTCCAAGTTAGGCTCGAATTTGCTGTTGCACTCTTCCGAGTGTGTTAATATGTGTCTTTTCAAATCGTTTTTTCCTTTAAATTTTGCTTTGCAAATGTCACATTCAAAAGGATAAATATCCGAGTGTGTCAATTATAGAGGAATACAAGAAATACATCATTAAATTACAAGAATATCCATTAGTCGTAATCGATTACATTTCTTTTGGCTTTCGCATCACGTCAAATGAACTGTAAAAACTCCGCTTTCCAAATTTTCACGGCAATCATGTTTACCTCTCGATTGTTTAGCACAATACTTAAAATACGGCTGAAAAGTGTCGGATAACTTGGAGAAGCCTTCCAGCATGTTTTCCAAGCAAGACGATCGCTTGTGTTTTCTCATATTCCTCACTAATGGAAACAATGTGTTTCTCCAAAATATTACGTTTGCACCCAAAATTTTCCTTATGTTTGAAAAGAGCTTCATCGTGCTAATCTCTCCAAAAAGGTTTTTCGAATGCAAATCTCTCAGGCAACCGAGGAACAAATCTTTAACTACTTTTAGAGTTTTAATGTAAGCCACTTCAGTCTTTATTAGCTCCCAGAATACTGTTTGTTGGTGTTGTTGTTTTTCACTTATATCGCTGTAATCGACGTCTATTTCTCTCCAATCGTCCTCTAGCTTATACAGGGCATCGATGGATTCGCATTGCCCCTGAGGATAATTGACATTTTGGGGAATTCCTTGTCTCGAATATCTATCCAATATGTGGTCTTCCAAATCGTTCTCCCGTTTAAATTTCGCATTACAAGTGTCACATTTAAACGGATGAATATCCAAATGTATCATTTATACAAGAATATGAGGAATACATCATTAAATATATATATTTTTTTAAGTTGGGCTTTAATTTAGATTTGGCGTTGCACTCATCCGAGTGTGTTAATATGTGGCTGTTCGAATCGTTTTTTCGTTTAAATTTTGCATTACAAGGTGTCACATTCAAACGGATAAATATCCAAATGTATCAATTATACAATAGTCCAGGAGGTGGCGCCAAAAACATGCAAGAGTTTTCGCAAGGCGGATATTTTCAAAATAGGTCGTACTTTAGTGCTAGAATGCTAGTGTACAGTCAGCACTCACAGTTCCGGGACAGCTGGCTCTGGGACGCGGGCAAAGTTGTAATTTTAAGAAACATCTAAACTTTTTTTTCAAAGCTCAAAATTTATAGAAATTTTGCACATTATCTGTTTGAAGGTCACAGATAACGTATGTAAATCGTCAGACGTCTAGTTCGTTGCAAAAAGGGGGTCAGACGTCCTCAAAGTTTTTATTTTATGGCATTTTCTTCAAATATATTTGTCAAATACCTGCAAAAATATATTTTGACAGGACACCGAAGAAAATGCCATAAAATAAAAACTTTGAGGAAGTCTGACCCCCTTTTTGCAACGAACTAGACGTCTGACGATTTACATACGTTATCTGTGACCTTCAAACAGATAATGTGCAAAATTTCTATAAATTTTGAGCTTTGAGAAAACAGTTTAGATTCTTCTTAAAATTACAACTTTGCCCGCGTCCCAGAGCCAGCTGTCCCGGAACTGTGAGTGCTGACTGTACACTAGCATTCTAACACTAAAGTACGACCTATTTTGAAAATATCCGCCTTGCGAAAACTCTTGCATGTTTTTGACGCCAGCTCCCCAACTACAAGATTACAAGAAATACCTACATTATTGAATATATTTTTTTTGGAGTTAGGCTTGAATTTAAATTTTGTGCTGCTTTATAAGACCGTCTATGCCTCCAAATTTGCTGATCGCTGCCTTGACGTGGTTGTTTACGCCCATGGAATATCGCTTTGGGGAAGGACCTCGCACACCTTATATGGAATTTCGGCGATCGGTCGATTTTTTTCAAATTGTGACATTATTATGTTATAAAAGATTTAATTCTTAACAACCTTTAAATGGGACGAAATCTTTCAGGTATTACGGTCTTTGAGATATGAGCGTTGAGAGATATATTTTACGTCACTATGGGCTAAGGCTGAGGCCGGGACCGCACTGGCGCCAACATTGGCCTCAGTGTGATCCCGGCCTTAGCCTATGTTGACATTTGTAAGTGACGTAAAATATTTGAACCTGTCAATATTTTGACTGATAAACACCAGAATTTCGTATACTTTCCACACAAAAAATCGCAAAAAGGTTCATCTTTCAACGCTCATATCTCAAAGACCGTAATACGTACAAGATTTCGTCCCATTTAAAGGTTGTTAAGAATTGAATTCTCTACAACACATCAAAATTTGAAACAAATCGACCGACCGCTAAAATCCCATATAGGGTGTGCGAGGTCCTTTGACCCGTATCAGTGGGCTGCAGCGCGAGACGATCTTTTAGGAAAGGGAAAGAGTCAGGATGCCCCTAGCCTTCGGCTAGCCTAACAGCGTCAGGGAGGATTAGATGGTAGGATCTTCAGAAAGGAGTTAGGGCAGGGAGATTTGGAAAGGGTCACCCTGGGAATCAGGTGAGTGCCTAGCTAGGGTACCTCGGGCTTGCCAGACCCGTACCTGCAGTGCAGGTCCCTGAGGTGTTAATATATGTACAGTGTCCATTTTAAAACTTACCATCCCTATTATATCGAAGTTGAAAATTTTTCGAAAAAATACCTGAAACACGTCAACTATAATTTCAATGGGAGTTGAGTTTCTATGCAAAATTCACCCCCTTCCTTTCAACCCGCCAGTTCCCAGAGCAACCCCCTAGAAAATCTTGAATGGAAAGCAAGTCAAGTGATACATCATTTTGGAAGGTTTTCAATTCCATACATTTTGGTACTAAATTTTAATACCTAAGTTCAACTGTTTTGGTGAATTTTGCATAAAAACTCATTCTTCTTCAAATAATAGTTGACATGTTTCAGGGATTTTCTAGAAAAATTTCCAACTCCAAGATAATAGGGGTGGTAAGTTTCAAAATGAACACCCTATATAATAACAGAATATTAACTCACATGTATGTGAATTATAATTATTATAAAATTTTTATTCAAGCCCAACTTGAAAAACATATATTTAATGACACATTTGAATATTTATCCGTTTGAATATGATAGGTACCTAGTTGTAAAGCAAAATTTAAACGAATATTTCACGCATGTATAAATTTTCCCATAAGGGAAAAGAGGAGTAGGTACAATTAACAAAAAATTACAGCGGAAATTTCCCTTGTGCAAATTACACCGAACATTTTGCATATATTTTTTGACAGCAACGCATTTCAAATGGGAAAGTTCAAGTACCAGTAGAGTTCAATTGAACCACTCTTTGGTACAACCAGGCCTTAGTGCTCTAACAATTACCATCAATAAAAAATTTCGACACTTCGGGTTCGGGATTTTTTCAGGCGCTATGCACTCATAACTTTGTTAAAAAATTGGCTTCAGACAAAATTTTCAAAAGTTTCCGGAAATATTTTATGCACTAGTTATATTACTACTGGAAATTCGACGTTGTCTGTTCTATTCCATAATTTGACTTCACCACAAAACTTAGATTCAAAATCAAGTTGAAGAAAGATGCAAAGTATTCTACGGTAGACTGGCTATTACCTATTTAATTTCCTGAGGACAAACTTCCAGCAGGTTCAGATTGTGAAATTTATGAGGAATCTAAATGGTTAATAGCTATTACTACTTGAAAGATTTTATTAGTTAAGTAGGATATTTAAAATATAAGTTTGCTATCAAAAGTACAGCTGAAACCTCTCTTCAGTACGATATATATCGAAAAATCTCAACCAAGCTGGGTTCAATCGGAACCATTACGGTTGAGACTAACACTTATCAGGTTTGTAGTTTTTGTAGTTCTGAAACAGTCTTTGAAACAGTTTGTCAGAAAAAATGCTCTAACAGTTAAATGAGAACAATAAAACACATTTCAAGAAATAGCTTATACCTACCTAAATAATTTGAGAAAGTTTTTTTGTTTTTTTTTATCCATTAAGACAATGTTATAATTGTATAATTCAATAGAAAGCGTACAGCATGAACGGTGATAGATACAGAAAATATAATATAGGTACGTGTCGCGATCTATTTTCTTGAGTATAGTTTAATGCTCTCAGAGCTGATTTTTGTTTTCCTCTGTATCTCAGCGCCACGTATATTATATTTTTTGTATCTATTACCGTTAAGGCTGTACCTGACATTACCACCCAAAATGACTCACCCTGTACAGTGGGTTAGGCCACTGGTAAGTAATCTTAGTTATTAAAAATACGAAATTACCTTTTTAATATTATGAAATACAACATACCTACATGACGTTTGATTTATCAAAAATTTACCTCAATTTTTGACATGGCTTATCACAGGCAGTGTAAATAATTTGACTCCTTCGGGTAAGAAATTGAGATTTTTGTTTTAAGTCATTCTTCTGGAAACCGCTGCTCGATGAGTCCAGAGACATCATAGCGACTGAATCAGAGATGGGCGTCAGCGCTCGATATGACAAGCGATGTTCGAATTAGTGAACCTGTAAAATTTTAATCATATATCAATTTATTTTCTATATCTGAGTGGATGGTCAGAATATAATAAAAATCTTAATAGAGCACGACGCACGATAGAAGTGTTAACTTTCCTAGTGAACCTATCTTAAGTTACTCGTCTCCGAAAGATTTAACGCTTAAACGGTAAATTTAAGCTTAAACGTCCGACCTCCTATAAGAAGTTTACACTTCAATTAAAAAAGTTACATTATAAAAATACAAATTAGTGTTAAAAACGTGGAATGATAAAAGACATAGCTAGATTAGTGAGGAGCCCACAGATGGAAAATACAAAGAATTTATAAATTTCCTACAGAAACCCGGATCATTTTATGCATGAAATGGAAACCTCTAGAAAATGGCACCGAAAACTGGAAACACAAATATTTGGTGATATTTAGGCAGAAGAATGAAAAAAAAAAAAAATTCTAATGGGTCTTTAGGAAAACTTAGGAAAAGATAATGAAGAATACGAATAAAATCCTCATGCAATTATCGGAAAACAACAGCAATAATTGACTTGTAGAAATCAAAAGTAAATTGGAAACCTTTTCCTAATTCAGAAAAAAGTTCCGTAAGAGCAATGCGAACTCCGATCCATACTGGGGATAATTGCACACTAACAGGTTAATTTATTGTTAAATGGGACTGGTCATGAAACATGACTAAATAGAATGGTTAGGGACATAAATAATGTCACATGCGGGTTTGCGAAAAAGTGACTCTTGCGAATTCGAATTTAATTGAACAATGACGATGAACACCTACATATTACTATAAATCCAAAATAACATTCAATCTATTCGGATATAAAATGGCACGTGACGCCAGAAAACCCAGAACAGCAGGAACTACAACTGAACCCTCCTGAAAATATGAGATCAGTTATCCTGAAACATGAAGATTTCCTCCACGGATGGTTTGCTGAAAAAAAAAATTCGTTGTTCCGTATTCTATAATATGAATTAGTTTGGCTTGAATGTAAATTTCGGAATATTTCAATACCTAATTGGAAATTAAAATTATGATGGCAAGTGGAAAACCAGAAGGATGAGGCATAATCTACTTATCAACAAAACAACTTGAGAATGGAGAAACCGCGCGCATTAATTATGAATAGAAATAATACCAAATTTCAATTTTTAAATTAATTACCAAATTTAGCACTGAGAAAAACTGTAGGTGTATTTGTAATGTTATGTATGCTGATATACAAACCTCTTGGTTATTTTCGATAATCATTTTCGCATTTTCATTTTCAGCTAGATAATTTGAAGTCGTGCCGTAGTGATACTCAAATCTTCTGGTTTGGTTAGTTCTGGTACATAAGCGTCAATTGGTAAATTGATGAATGGCCCGGTTGGCGGTTGAAGAATTCTTGGCTTGTTGCTAAGATGTTCTCGTTGTTCTGGTACATAACCGTTAAGCGGTAAGGTGATGAATCGACTGGTTGGCGGATGAAGAATTCTTGGTTTGCTGCTAAGATATTTTTTAAGTAGAGGAATGATTGGCTGCTCAGTGTGTATTCGCATGTGTCTTTTCAGATAAGATGTCTGGAACAAAATAAAAAAATATTTATAAGAACATTGAAGTAGGAACCCACTTGAAGAAAATGCGACAAGTCCTATTGAGAACTGACAATTTCGACTTAAGAAGTATATTACACGTCTTGTACCAATTTTCCTAAAAATATTTAGCCATGTTGACGCGACATAAATACATAGAATTTCTTTAGATTAATTGAACACATTATGGCATTTCTCCCCGCTATCCAATTCTGCTCTTGCATGGCATGTTTAAACACCCTGGTTTCTACTGATGCCTGTGAGTCACCTTCGTAATCCGCATCGCAGTCTTCTAAACAGAAAGGTCGGCAACGGTTTCCAGAAGTAGGCTCTTTCGGCCACAGTTGAAACACTATTGATCAGTTTTCTTATTCTTGAATTGTAGCCTTGTTTCGTACAGTAGGTATGTCTGTAACATCGCCTCTAATTTAATAAAAATATACGCCTCTGTGTTCGGGCTTTCCTCCGATATCCTTACTTTCCTTATTAATTGTGATTTTTCTAGTTAAAAGGACATTTTTGGCTGCTTCAGTTGCGGTTAGTGTGTTATGCCTACTCAGTCTTTGCGCTTGCAGCTAGTCTGTATCTTCTACTCCATCAATATTGAATTGGAAATTTATTTGCTCAATGTAATTTTCTAAGATAACTGTTTCTGTACCTCAGCTCCAGATGAAGATCGGTGATATGTCTATCCTAATCAATAGAACATTCCACCACAAGTACAATAATATACACCTGTATTACCTACAAATAATCCACGGAAAAGTACGCTCTGGCAAGCTCATCCCAAGGTGAAGCACTTCACGAAAATCTTGGCAAAGTTAGACAACAATTTAAAGCACACTTTGTGCGCAGAGAAAACAATACGATAGAAAACATACAGGGTGTCACGAAAGGTTTGTTACAAACTTCTAGGGATGGTAAATCTCGTAAAAATAAAACTTTTTTCTTAATAAACATGTGTCCGGAAATGCTTCGTTTTCCAGATATACAGGGTGGCGCGAATTTGAGCCTCATCATTGGTAACTCGGTAACCGTAAGAGATACGGGGTTGGTTAAAGTATGGCAAAGTTGCGCAATTTTATGACCAATAGAATACCGTTTTGAAACTAGAAAGATTCCGAATACTTCCGGAGATATTCGGAAAAAACCAAAATTTTTTAAAATCGTTTTTATTTTTTCCCGGGCTTATTTGAAAAGCAATTTTAAAATAAATGTCACTTCATCATTGTCACTTCTTCCCCTCTAGTAGGTGGTGGTACTAAATTTAAAATTCGACGTTTCGTCTTCAGGCGGCCATCCTTAACTTACGTTTTTTAAATACGAACCTAGATTTTTTATTTGCGATTTTGTTATCTTTGGGCATCCTAAAACCGATACTGTTTATAATTCTTCAATAACACGGTAAAAAAACAGGTCCGTATTTGAAAAAAAAAAATTGATGATTATTCCAGAGGAACGAAACGTTGGATTTCAAATTTAATACTGCCATCTTGTAAAGAAGAAAAAGTGACAATGGGAATGTGAAATTAGCTTTTCAAAATCTTTTTAAATGAAATCAGGAAAAAATTTAAGAAAAATGAGAAATTCATGTTTTTTTCGTATAGTTTTCATTTTTTCCTGATTTTATTTAAAAAGATTGTGAAAAACTAATTTCACCTTGCCATTATCACTTTTTCTTCTCTACAAGATGGCGGTATTAAATTTAAAATCCAGCGTTTCGTTCCTCTGAAATCATCATGATTTTTTTTTTTTTTTAAATATGGACCTGCTTTTTTTGCTGTGTTATTGAAAAATTATAAACAGTATCGGTTTTAGGATGCGCAAAGATGACAAATTCCGTATTTAAAAAAAGGAAGTTGAGGATGGCCGCCTGATGACGAAACGTCGAATTTTAAATTTAGTAGCACCATCTTCTAAAGGGGAAAAAGTGATAATGATGAAGTGACATTTATTTTAAAATTGCTTTTCAAATAAGCCCGGGAAAAAATAAAAACGATTTTACAAAATTTTGTTTTTTTCCGAATATCTCCGGAAGTATTCGGAATCTTTCTAGTTTCAAAACGGCATTCCATTGGTCATAAAACTGCGCAACTTTGCCATTATTTAACCGACCCCGTATCTCTTACGGTTACCGAGATCCCAATGATGAGGCTGAATTTTGGGCCACCCTGTATATCTGGAAAACGAAGCATTTCCGGACACATGTTTATTAAAAAAAAAGTTTTATTTTTACGAGATCTACCATCCCTAGAAGTTTGTAACAAACCTTTCGTGACACCCGTATAGGAAACTTCGGTAAAGGCGATAGAAACGCGACAGGAGAGATGTCGAGAAATTACCTGAATGATGAAAGATATGACTGGTTCTGCATTTTTAAGGAACTGGAGAAGGCTGATGGTTACTGGTCCTTCCAGATTCAGGATAATACTTCGCCCAAAATAATGGAGATAGTCCTGTTTTGGCAAAAGCTGGATTTTGGTTGGATGATCCCGAATCTTCCGTTAGCGCGCTGGCCTTGATGAGCTGGGATGAAGTGGACACTGATGGGTTACTGTTAGCGTGGTAGCCTACTGGGGGAAAAATTGATTTGAAGTTGTCTTCGGGGCTTCCTTTAACGTCAATACCATCCAAAGTGTCTGAAACAAAATTAAAATTTTTTTATGAGGAAATTGAAGTAGAAGCCCACATTGTCCTTGTTCAAAATATGACAATTAACCCTATTAAAATTTTAAATTCCAGCTTCACGAAGGTCTGGGCAAAGTTAGACAACATATAAAGCACACTTTTTGGGCAGAGTAGACAATGCGATACAAAACATATAGGAAACTTTGGTAAAGGCGATAGAAACGCGAGAGGAGAGATGTGAAATTACCTGAATGATGAAAGCCCTCTGTGAGCTGCATTTATCTTTTATCTCTATTAAAGTCATTTCCAGATGGTGACTATATGCTGCTGGTACGAGAACTTTGAGGTAGAGACGATTTATAGATATGGCTGATTCTGCATTTTTCAGGAACTGGAGAAGGCTGATGGTTACTGGTCCTTGCAGATTCAGGATAATTCTCTGCCCAAAATAATGGAGACAGTCCTGTTTCGGCAAGAGCTGGATTTTGGTTGGATGATCCGAAACCTTCTGTTAGCTCGCTGGCCTTGATGAGCTGGGATGAAGTGGACACTGATGGGTTACTGTTAGCGTGGTAGCCTACTGGGGGAAAAAACTGATTTGAAGTTGTCTTCGGGGTTTCCTTTAACGTCAATAACATCCAAGGTGTCTGAAACAAAATTAAAAAAATATTTATGAGGAAATTGAAGTAGAAACCCACATTGTCCTTGTCCAAAATATAACAATTAACCCTATTAAAATCTTAAATTCCAGCTTCATGAAGGTCTGGGAAAAGTTAGACAACAAGAAAAAGCACACTTTTTGGACAGAGAAAACAATGCGATACAAAACATATAGGAAACTTCGGTAAAGGCGATAGAAACGCGAGAGGAGAGATGTGAAATTACCTGAATGATGAAAGTCCTCTGTGAACTGCCTTTCCTTTTATCTCTGTTAGATTCATTTCCAGATGGTGACTATATGCTGCTGGTAGAGACGATTTATAGATATGGCTGATTCCGCATTTTTCACCCCACTATCGACCCGATTTGAGCAAAGTTAGACAACAAGAACATCCACACTTTGTAATAATAAGCGGCGACTTGAACGCTACGAAAACAATACGATACAAAACAAGGAAACTTCAACATAGGTGATAGAAAAGAGAGAGATATCGATAAATTACCTTAATAGCGGAGGCTCTCTGGAAACTGCTTTTTCATTGCTCAGTCATTATCACATGGTGAATATATACTGCTGGTACGAGAACTTTGAGATAGAGAGGATTTACCATACTCTTCACTCTTCATATATTTTTTCTCGATTCCGAAAAATTGCTGCTGGCAACTATATCATTGTTGTACATGCGGCTGATTCCAATTTTTTTATAAATTGGAAAAGACTCACGGTAAATGGTCATTGTAGGTGAAGAAGAATACGCGGGCGAAGGTGATGAAGGCATACTTGTTTGGAAAAAGCCTGGATCTTGGTTGGATAATCCCGCATCTTCCATTAGCTCGCTGGCCTTGATAAGCTGGGATGAAATGGACATTGATGGGTTACTTTAAGCTGGGTCGCTTAACGGGGAAAAACTTATTTGATGTTGTCTTCGGAGTTTCCTTTAATGTCACTAGCATCCGAGATATCTGAAACAAAATAAAAAAATATTTATAAGAAAATTGAAGTCGAAACTCACATAGAGAAAATACGACAACAAACCCTATTATAAACTATCACAATTCCGTCTCAAGCGATACCACTTTTCCTAAAAATATTTAGCAATGTTGACGCGATATAAACATATGGATGTCTCTAGATTGATTGAACACATGGCATTTCATCCCACTATCGATCTCTGCTCTTGCATGGTATATCCAAGCACCCCGGTCTGTTGACACGATTGATAATAGAGGCCTCAAAGAGTTGTACGCATGATAGAAAGGACTTCAGGTAAGAGTTTTATTATTAATCCTCACAGGGTGTTGTACCTATATAGTTTTTCCGCTTGCTGCTAGTCTGTATCTTCTACTCCATCAATATCGAACTGGATATTTATTTGCTTAATGTAGTTTCCTAAGATAACTGTTTCTGTACCTCAGCTCCAGATAAAGATCGGTGATGTGTCTATCCTAATTAATAGGAGAGATGTCGATAAATTACCTGAATAATGAACTGCCTAGGTATCTGTTTCAGCTCTCTTAAACTGATTTTCAGATGCTGGTACGAGTACTTTGAGGTGGAGAGGATCGTCTTCACTCTTGCTTGTATTTTTTCTGGATTCCGTCGCGATGTTGTCGATATGGATGATTCTGCGTTTTTTAGGAATTAGAGAAGGCTTATGGTTACTGGCGATCGCAGATCAAGGAGAATACGCGGGCGAAGGTGATGAAGCTGAAGTTTGGAAAAAAGCTGGATTTTGGAGTGGATATTGATGGGTTAATGAGAGCTGGGGGAAAAACTGATTTAATCTAGTGTTCGGATTTTACTTTAAAGTCACGACCGTCGAAGATATCTGGAACAAAGTAAAAAAATATTTATAAGAAAATTGAAAAAGGAATCCACTTCAACAACAACAAGCCCTATTAAAAACTATCACAATAACGGCTAAGGAAGGTAGGAAGGTAGGTACCACTTTTCTTAAAAATATTTAGCAATGTTGATGCGATTGAAGTTGATGCAGTTAAGTTAAGAAATCCTCGCATAGGAAAATAATTTTTGGACAGAGAGTTTATTGTAATTTAGAAGTTTTTTGGGAAGACTTCGGATGACTGCACAGAGACCTGAAGCACTTCTTCAAATTATTGAGCCCTCTTCGAAACATCCCACGGAAAGAAGCCAAGGCCAAGATCTTCCATCAAATGTGCAGTTATATATTGGATTCAATGGTTAGGCAATTTCAAGCCGTCAGTACATGCATATTTTAGAATCTTTGGTGAATTTGTCGCCTCTATGTTTTTAGAGTCCCTAATGGCTCTCCAAACCTCTATCAGAGCAAAACTTGAAGTTGACACAAATGAAAATAACGTCACTATCGATAACAAAATATTTTAAATTTTCGCCAGAAGAATTGTAATAATTGTTTTCATAATTGTGGAAAAATTATGTGAAAACTCTATTATGGTCCATTACAAGCGTCTCTTTTAAAAAAATTGTAGTTTGTAATTTGCACTTTTGTGAAACGGACTCCTAAACTTCATGTTAAGCAACAAAGCCTGCTTTCGTAGCAGAGAATAAATAAATTACAATTTTCTCTTTAATTTCAATGGCTGTGTCGAAGTTGCCCAAAGAAGGTACATATGTAGAAGAATAAGAGCATAATCGCAATCTCAAATCGTTTAATCTCAACTGCCAAGGAGAACCTCCCAGAGGCACAGTTTTGCTTTAGACTCAACCGAGGTACAGCTGAAGAAACCACAATTCAAGACCGCCCCTTTATCAAACTTTGTTTGGGGTCAGTAGAAGAAGATGGCGCCCACCGTCACTCAACAACAGCAACCAACTCTTGAATCAATCATGAGAGAGATGAGGAACCTTCAGCAACAGCTGAACGCCATGATAAACAACAAAAACACAACGCTGCATGGCGGAACAAATTAAAGCCAAATTTCTGAACATAGCAACCTAGAACGCCAACTCTGTGAAAACCAAAAAACTGGAACTACAGACATTTCTAGAGTAACAACAAATAGACGTCCTGTCGCTACAAGAATCCATGCTTAAACCCGAGCACAGATTCAAATTACAAAATTTCAGAGTCATTAGAACAGATAGAGATGGCAGATGCAGAGTCACCCTAATTGCTGTCAAATCCAATATCCGTCACTACGAAATCCCAAAATTCCCAAACCCGAGTGATCACAGATTGAGGGCACCTTCGTAGCAATACCAGTACAAGAACAAACTTCGGTTGTCGGCTCCATCTACATCCAGCCCAATCACGTAATAACTGCTGACCAGATGGATTCCCTATTCAGCGACCACGACCAGCCAGTTCTGATGAGAGGTCATTTTAACGCGAAACACACCGACTGGATATGCACTAGATTCAATCAAAGGGGAATCTCGGTCCACGACAATGCTGAACGTCTGAACTTCAACATCTGGCGTCCTGATAAACCTACCCGCATAGGTCACGGCAGACCCAACAATCTGGACTTTTTTATACACACCCTATCACACATCCACAAGTTCTACATCATCTCTCATCCGACCACCTACCGGTCATGGTTGAATACGGCAACCCAGCCGACCAAACCCCATTCAGAAGACCAAGAACTTTCACAAACTGAACAGCATTCCAAAACCACCCGATCGGCGACATCCATTCTCCACAAGAGCTAGACACTGCTGTGGACACACTAACTGGCAACATCTGCGAAGCCATCAACCTGGCTATCAAACATCGGTCCATGTGACCCTACAGAAACACAGACTACTTCCAGAGCTAAATCGAAATTCGCCACAGGAACCGACGACGGCGACTCGCTATCCGCACTGGTGGTGACCCATACTTAAAAAATCAAGTCAACCGACTTAACAGAAAAACCACAGTCAAGTCAACGACTGCTACAACGAGCCACTCTCCAGCTCTCCCATTTTCCATCAAAATGGAAAAAGGCCAACGTCATACATAAGGAAAAAAGGTGAAATCTAGTACCAACAACCAACCCCAGTAGCTCCCGTCCAATCAGCCTCCTCCCTGCACTTGGCAAAGTGGCACAACGACACATCAACAGAGACCTATAGGACTCTGTCTCACTCCTTCGGCTGCTACCCGACGAGCAGATGGGCTTCAGAGCGCAGCACTCATCATCCCATCTAGCTACCCAACTAGTGTTGAACAAAATAATTTTTAATTCCTATTTTTGGTGAATGCGCCAGTAATCGTAATATTTCATAATTTTGTCCAGGAGTATATATTGTAGGTCAGATTCTTGATTAGAATTCATTAATATGTTGAAAGCTAGAACCTACGGTAAAGTTTCATTTGTCATTTTGTAGTCATTTTGCAGTCCTCCTCGACATCTCGAAAGCCTTCGACAAAATGTGGCATCAAGGCCTCGTTCTGAAGATGCTAAGTTATAACATGCCACATTACCAAGCCAAATTAATCAACTCATTCTTGTCAAACCAGAACTTCTGCGTCACTCTCGATAGAAACACCACTTACCAAGCTAGACCAGTACTTGCCGGAGTACGACAAGGCTCCCCTCTCTGTCCTCTACTTTTCAATCTATTCATGGCGGATATCTCTCTTCAAGCCTACGCTGACGACACTGCAATTACAGCTACATCACGAAGCAGACCAATTATACGAGCCAGACTGCAGAGACACCTCAATAGCAATCAAACCTGGATGGACAGGTGGAGGCTGAGAGTAAACTCGAAAAAGACACGAGGCATCATATTCGGCATGAATAAGAGCATGCCTCCAAAGGATGGGAGAAAACATCACTCTCTTGGACAAAAAAGGTCAAGTACCTCGGAATTATTTTCGAAGGCAAACCTAACTGGCGGAACACATCAAATACGCCAGGAACAAAGCAAAAGACCAGCTTATACAACTCTACCCACCGACATAGCAAGCTGAACATCTAAACCAAGATAAACACATACAAAATGTATATAAGACCAATAAAAGCATACGCGGCTCCAGCCTGGGCCACGACTAATAATTAACGCCATCTCCAACCGCTACTAAGCCTAGAAAACAGGATATACCA